AATACAATCGTAAGTTGAAAGTCTTTTCCTATTCTTCCCAATCGAGTAAACTCTATCATCCTGTTTAGTCCTGCAGAACAAATCACAATCGGCCTTTCTTCTGAACCTAGAACTGATCGATGATGCTTCTTTAGCTTCTTTCCCATCAGAACTCCTAGTATAGATCAACACCATGCTTATTCATACCATATCTCAGTGGGACTGCAATCATCTCAAGGCTGAAACCAGGTTCTCAAAACTGTAGCCATCAAACATTCATCAGTGCAATCATCAATACCAGCCGAAATTGGGTATCAAGAACTCGTACTGTGTCACTAGATAGTAGATAGCATGAAACTTCAAAGTCATTCGACAGAAGTGCTTCAGGTGTCAATTGATGTCCTCAAACACCACAATCGCACATTACCCTTGCTCTATTTGTACCTTTTCAGCCCTCTTGTACTTCCCGAGTTCTGAATTTGTACCCTGTCGATCAAAACTCTCTGTTTTCAATTCTATTCCGCCAAATGCTGTCCCCAAAAAAGAAGACTCGTCAAACCCGAAGGTATATTTGTACTTGCGAGGCATACCAATGCTCTTCTGGTCACTACACAGACGCAACTGGGATAGCTCGTTCCGGTGTTGAGCTGAGTCCGGAGGCGTTTGATGCCCATAAACGTGCAGAACTACGACTGCAGTCTCAAACAGACATTGGTGCTCCATCCTCGCGGCTACCATCAAGTTCTCGCCCTCAGACCGTCGTCGCAAGTCAAGAAGATCTAGCATTGCGGCTTGAAAGAGTTGCTCTGGGCTCAACCCTCCCCTTGAGAGCATCTGGGAGTGCCGAAAGGGCTCCTTTGAACACAGCAGTAAATACAAGATCACCAAGTTTGCAACTCGACCGCTCACCTTCAGCCTTCATTCGCAGATCTACACCTTCCCCGGAGTTGGCCAATTCTTCAAGCAATCTGGATAATAGTGACACACATGCTAATACCTTTCAAAGCCCTTCAGAAACGGTGCAGTTATCTGGCATTCAAGCTTACAGTTGTGGTGCGTCAGCTCAGGCCATGATTGATTTACAAAGCTGTGTGAACAGTCAAAGTGCTTACCCAAATTGATGTTGGTAGAACGATTCTTTGAATTTAGCTTGGAACTCATCAACCCGCTACATTTGCATG